TAATTATATTAATTGTCAGTATTTCATTACATAATGCTCCACAGCTATATTTTAATAATCAAATTCATTATAAGAATATAATTAATGACCTATCCATACAATTTAATTCAACAAATTCTATRTTTGTAATTCTATGAATGAACAAAAATATAATAATATGTAGGTATCTATTGTACCTAATAATTATTAATGAATAATAAATATACAAACATGTATGATACATGGAGTACTAAGTAAATAGTTATTATTTTCTTTCCTGAATAACACAGTTATAACTTTTCATTTTATAGTATCTATAATAAATTTTATGAATACTCCCATTATTACTTGTTTTATATATAAATAAAATTTGATACATTCTGATGACTATTTTTATTTTATATACAGGGTGATTCAGGGTAAAACACTCATTATTTATAAAAACTATTTACTTTTTTCAAATTTTTTTTTCAAAATTTTAGATCTATGCTGTTCTAAAACTATACAATTTTTTTATGTTTTTCACCCTCGTATTTATTAGGTAAACCACTATCAACTTTTGATTTTTAAATGGCAACCTATATTAACAATATCATAATTAATAAGGCTATTTTTTTCAAGAATTTTCACGTTTAAATTTTCATTTTTCGTTAATCTGTTGACGAGATATGGTCTCCCAAAGTTGGATGGTTTTGGGGTGGTGTTTGTGTATAAATGTGTTATACCATGTCAGTACCGCGGCCGCAGCAATTGGGATTTTCGTACTCTAGCGTAAAACATAATACACTTTCAAATAAATTCAGTAAGTACGATAGTTAAGCCTAAGYTGTGCCCCAAAATTGGTAAACATTTACACAGGATGACAAACACTACCCCAAAACCATCCAACTTTGGGAGATTATATCTCGTCAACGGATTAACGAAAAATGAAAATGTATTTAAAAAAATAGTCTTATTAATTTATGATATTTTTACAGGGAGATGTATATAAAATTAATTTTTACAAAATAAAATATATTTTAAACCTTTTGATGTGAAAATATAACTAAAATATTTTATTGGTAGGCTTCAACTAAGCCAGTACCAAATAAGTAATTAACTTTGACTATGTAGTATTCAAGATAAATCCAATAGTTG